TCGGGGTAACCGTTTGGGGCTTTACCGATAAATATTCTTGGTTGATTGATAAGGGTTATGGGGAACAGCAGTTATGGACTCAGGATTATAAACCCAAACCCGCCGTAGACGCTGTCGATAAAGTTTTGAAATAAATGAACCTGTTTCATTTGCAAATAATTAATTATTTTATATTAAATATGAACTCGATTGATTTGTTTTCAAATAATTCAAAATTAATATAAAAGTTATTTCATTAAAAAAAGTTAAGTAATTTTGTTTGTTATTGAAAGTAAAGTCACTTTTGTGATTTAATCAATAAAAAGCACACATAAAATGTAATAAACTTAAAGGACTTTATAAAGTTTATAATCAATAGTTACCTGGGAAATATAGCAATTAGTAGATGGTATATAACCTTAGATTTAACATTTGATACAATTATGTAGAATAGGGAATAAACCTTAAGATTTTTAGGGTTAGAATGTAACAAAAGTCTGGTTTGTTTAATAAATTATTAGCAATGAGTTAATTAAGAGATATTTTCAATCAAAGTTTTCAATATTTATCAAATATATTATTTATTTATCAATATTATACTTAACATTTGTGTACAATTGCACTCACGTTTAAAATACTGGTACAGTAATTGTCTTATAATTAGTTACTATTGTTGAACATTAATCGAGTAGATAATTTGAAACACTTCATTATTAATTGATTAATAATTTATTACAAAATATGATCAATGTTATCAAATATTTTTAAGATATATTTCATCTATATTTTGGTATATAAATGTGTTGTTGAGATATTTAACAAGCACACTGTAATAAGTATCTGAGAAATTATTAAAACATACTGTCATAAAATGCTCAATTAATACTTGTGTCAATTCATTAACTAATTGTTTTAGAAATTTAACTTTTTTTTTATAAACTGTATATTAGATTAATATAAAGCACACGAAAATGCTGTCCACATCAATCATTTTAATCGCGGTATTGATTGTGTAAGTATTTGACAAATATTTTTACATAACTTATATTTTTTGATATTAAATCTTATTTTTCATTAATATGTTGGGCACCGGCAGCTCGGGCGAGGGTCACCTCCGAGATCACGCCAAACAGAAGTACATCGGAACGTCGTTTAGGACCGATGCCTTCAGCGACCAGAAATACCTGGAAATACTGGGCCAGGAGTTCAATAGCGTGTCATGCGAGGCTTTAATATGGGGGTTTCTGGAGGCAGTACGGGGGCAGTACAACTGGGAACCCGCCGACAAAGTGGTCGCATATGCAGAGCAACACAATATGACGATCAGGGGGCATAACCTCATTTGGCACGAACTGTTACCCTCATGGATTGCGGGACTGGAGGGCAAAAAGGCTGAGCTCGAGCAAGTGATGAAGGACCATATTAATACAGTGGTTGGACGTTTTAAAGGTATAGATAAAAATTGTTTTATTAATTTATTTCAATTTAATTTTTAACTTTCAACTAAATTCAACTTGTTACTGATAAACTAGTATTAGTCCTACTTTTCAAAATTATATAATGATTTTAAATGATTTACAATTAATTATTATTTATTATTTATTTTTATTTTATGGTATTAACGAAAAGTTTTATAAACTAAAAGTAATTAATAATAAAAATATGTTTCAAATCATAGATAAGATCTACGCGTGGGATGTGGTCAATGAAGTGATCGATGAAGTGTCCGGCGAACTAAGGGACAGCATATGGTCGCGAACTTTTAACTACAGTTTCATTGAGGAGGCCTTCCGTACGGCACACGCGGCCGACCCTAACGCCAAG